GAGTGGCGTGGCAGGAGGGACACAGGGGACACCAGGGTGTGACAGCATCCCCAGTGCTGGGGCAGGCCCTGTGCTCGGTTCACCACCAGGACCTCGGGCACCCAGTCCCAAAACCACGGTGCCTGGTGCCCCCACACAAGCTGACAGGACACAGATGCTTGGGCTCACCTTGTCCCCAGGTGTCCAATGCCAGCCCCAAAAATCAGGACACAGGGCTCAGGGCCCTCATGGGAGGATGGGGCCATTGTATCCCAGCCCCTCCTTGGCACAGGAGAGGCGATGGAGAAGTCACCTCTGGAGCCTGTGTGTGGGGAATGTCCTTTTGCAAGGCCATTATGTCCCCTGTCACACCTGGGGACAGAGTGAGGAACAGCAAGGATCTGCTTTCCCAGTGCCTGGGGGACACAGGGCCCTGCCCTGCTGCAGAGGGCACTGCTGCCAGGCAGAAATGCCCAGTGGGTGCCAGAGGTGCAGGGACACAAGGGAGGGCAGGAATGGGATGGGGACAAACAGGACAGCCCAGCCTCCAAAGTGTTTCACCTCTCCTGCTCCATTTGAAAAGTCCTTTGGGGATATTTTGGGGATTCATCAGCAACCGTTGGGGGTCCATGTGATGTTTCCAGGCCCTGGAAACATCCATAGCCAGATGTTGTAGCTGGTGATTGCCCAGCCCCAGGTCCAGCCCTGCCCCATCAGGGTAGGGGTCTCTCAGATCAGTCCCTAGGATGACACAGCTCCATCCATCCTTAGAGCACAGTCCCGAAGGAGGGAGGCTGTGCTCCACATCCCCAGTCCCCCTGTTCCCATGGGCCCCTTGGGCAGCTGAGAGTGCAAGGAGAGAGGCCGAGGAGCTCCAGGACTGAGCAGGAGCTGTGGATCCACAGACAGCACCGAAGTGAGGCAGTGTGGTGACTCAGAGGGGACAGTCACCACTGACCTGATGCATCATCCAGACCAGCCTCCCCATCCCCACCTACAGCCAGACCACCCCAGAGCTTCCTTAACCCCCAGGAGCCCTGAAAATAATTCATCACCCAGAGTGGGTGGCCTGAGCAGTGCCAGTGCTGAGTGCCTCACGCCAGCCCCACCGAGCTGCTGTGGAGCAGGAGCACAGCCCAGGCCCTTCCCGAGGGTGCCCTGCCAGAGGGACAGCCTGGCTGCAGCTTGCTGCCCGAGGACATGGCTGAGCCCATGGGACAGCACGAGGGACAGGGAGCAGCGCTGTGCCCGCAGCAGTGCAGCCTGTGCATGGCCCTGCAGCAGTGCAGCAGTGCAGCCTGTGCATGGCCCTGCAGCCCTGCAGCGCTCAGCAGGGCTTCTGTGCTGCATGTCCGTGTGTGCATGGCAGAGCTGGCACTTGTGTGATGGAAACCCTGTTTGCTCCTGCAGTCTCTCCCCCTGCCCTGCGCTGAGAGGAGGTAGTGCTACAGCTCCTGCCAGAGCCCAGCAGGGCAGCTCCCCTTCCCCCTGCCCCTGCTCTGTCAGGGCTCCAGGGACTGGGGGTGCCCCAGGGGAACCTCCCCCGTGGCCCTTCCCTCATGGCAGGAGAGCAGCAGAGGCAGACGGTGCTGCTGGCTGGGGACTGTGCAGCGCCCGGTGACAGTGCAGTGTGGCGGCAGCACCAGTGACAGTGCAGTGCGGTGGCACACTCGGTGACAGTGCGGTGGCACACTTGGTGACAGTGCCGTGGTGGCAGCAGTGGAGCCCAGCCCCAGGGGTGGACACATGCCTGGATCCCACACCCCTGCACCACATGGCACCACATGGACCACGACTGAGCACAAGGAAGGACCCACATCCCGCAGCCCCATAAAGTCTCTGGACCTGGGCATCCTCTTGCTCCCACTCCTTCCGCAGCAGCCAAAGCACAAGGGGCAGAGCCAAGGCCACATCTGGCAGAGCAGCAGGAAGGGCAGCAGGGCCCCACCAGCTGTGAGGAGCTGCTCTGTGCCCGGCCTGGGTGCCCTCACCCCACTTGGACATGACACACATTCTGTGCTCAGAGCCCCGGGTGTCACCTGCCAGGAGCTCTGCTGCCACCGAGGGGCTGCACTGGCCACTGGCAGGTCTGTCCTTGATCACAGCAGCCACTCTGGCTGTCACCCCAGGGCAGAGCTGGTCACTGCAGGACAGGCTCCTCACGTCCTCCTGCACAGAAGCACCCAGAGGACCCCAAACAGCACCCAAAGAACCCCAAACAGCACCCAAAGGACCTGCACTGCTTTTGCAGGGCCCCCAGGGCACCTGCTTGTCCCTGCAGGTGTGACACTCAGGAATCACTTGTCCTGCTCTCTGTCCCACGGGAGCTGTGGCACCTGTGGACATGCTCTAAAGTGGGGCAGTGGATTCAGGGGTGTCCTCTCAAGCACCTTCCTTCCCTTGAGTGCTGAGCTGGGATGCAGAGCACCTTGAGAGCAGCTCTGTGCCCTGCTGCCTTGCCAAGGCACAGAGCAGAGGGGAGGCAGGGAAAGCAGGATTAAGGCACCTTGGTGAGGGCCAGGTGCCACTGGAACTGCCTTTGTGCTGCTGTGCCCAGGGAGCCCAAGGCCAGGGGGCAAATGCAGCAGCCATGGCAGAACTGAGCAGCTCCCAGCCCATGCCCTCGAGCAGAGGCAGCAGAGCAGCTGTGAGACCCTGAGGTCTGAGAGCCCCCACTGTCCTGGGCTGGGCTCAGCACCCCTCACTGCCCCACACCATCCAGCTCTCCAGCCCCTCCTGCCCCTCACCAGCCCCTCCTGTCCTTCACCAGGCCCTCCTGCCCCTCTCCAGCCCCTCCTGCCCCTCTCCAGCCCTTCCTGCCCCTCACCAGCCTTGCCTGCCCTCACCAGTCCCTCCGGCCCCTCACCAGCCCTTCCTGCCCCTCTCCAGCCCTGCCTGCCCCTCACCAGCCCTTCCTGCCCTCTCCAGCCCTTCCTGCCTCTCTCCAGCTCTTCCTGCCCTCTCCAGCCCCATGCTGGCCCAGACCCCACAGGCAGGAGGTGCAGCTCAGCCTGAGGAGAAGGCAGGCAGTAAAATGCAGTCTGCAGACAGAGCTGACACCAAGGTGATCGATATAAAAATGATTCTCAGGGTCCTTGTCTCCTCTGGAAAGGGTCAGAGCCAGGCATCCCAGTGACCTGTGGGACCCTCCCAGTGACCTGTGGGATTCTCCCAGTGGCAGGGCTCAGCTGGAGCCAGCAGGGTCCCTCCTGGCCTCAAGGCCACCAGTACAGACAGAGGCAGCACTCCCACCCAGCAGGGAAAGGGTTCTCAGCTCTTGCATTTACCAGGACCTCAGATTTGACAGCCACAGCCCCTGAGCTGGACAGTGGTGTGGGCTTGGCCCGGGAGCCATGGCCAGGCATAAAGATGGCAGGAGCAGAGTGGAAAGAGCTGAGAGATTCCACTCCAGCAGCAGTGGGCCCAGGGAGGCCTGGCCAGTGTGTGTGCCTCACATGGGAGACTGGCTCCACTTGGGTCCCAGCTGGATCCCACACACCTGGATCAGCCCTGCCTCTGTTCCACGCCCCCAGGAACGTGGGTGCTGGGCCATGGGTGCACTCCAGGCAGGAGCCTGTCCCCAGAGGAGCCCCAGGGGTGGTTTGGGGGCTGTTCCAGAGTGGGCACATGGAGCAGGCTGGCAGGACATGGGCTGAGTCCCTTTGGGCAGGAACAAGCCCTCAGCTGTGAGCTGTGCATTGAGCCTGCACCTGGACACAGCCTGCAGACCTGAGCCTCACCTGGAGGTGCTCCAACCCAGCAGCATCAGACACAGCCTCAGACTGGCCCTGGCTGCCAGGGAAGCCCTGCTGGGAGCAGGGATGGGAACAGGCACTGCAGGGCTGGCTCCTCACAGCTGCAGCACAGCCCTGTGTCCCCAGAGCACTGTGAGCTGTGGCTGCTCAGCCCCACGGCTCCCTGGGCAGCAGGGCACGTCCAGCAGCTCCATCCAGCAGAGCCAAGCTGGAATCTCTTGTCAGCACAGGCTGTGCTCAGCACAAGGGCTGGCACTGCTCCCCATGGCATCCCAGCTGCTGCCCCAGTCTGGGCTGCCCTGGCACTGGGGTGGCATGGACATGGCTGCAGCCTCAAATCTGGCCTGGCTGCTCCTTGGCCACGTCCTCGAGGGCAGGACAAAGGCCAGCAGCAATCCAAGTGAGCCACAAAGCCAAGGCTTGCTCCTGAAACCTGGGCCTCCCAATCTCTCCCCTGACTTGTCCCACACCACATGTGGCTCATCCTGCTCACTCCTGGGTACCTGGCTCTGCTTCTGGTCCCCCCACACAGGATGGGCAGGGAGGTGGTGGCTGCTGTGGCTGCTCAGTGATTCAGGCCTCCTGTGGCACCAACAGCTCACTCCTGGCTAGTGAGGGAATAAGAGACAGTGTCTGCCTTAAACTGATTGTGGAGTTGTCACCTTGCTGGGGTTAGAAGTGCCTTTCATGCCCAAGGTGCCTCTCATCTCTCAGCAGAGATGCCAGCACAAGGTCTGTGTGCCCAAGCTGCTCTAGAGGGACTTGTGAGAGCCTAACTTGGTTTCAGAAAGTAATTTCAGCCACTCAGAGTCACATTCAACTCAAAACCTTAAAGAGCCCATGAAGGTCTGGGCTCTTAGCCCCAAGCCCTGCTCCACAGCAGCACTTTTATGTTCAGTGACATGGTCTGTGTGACGAACAGCCAGGTCCAGCCCTGTCCCAGTGCCCCACACAGCCCAGTGAGACCGTCCCCTCTCCCCCTGTGACGCCTGGCATTGTGCAGCTTGTCCTGGCTGTGTGAGCATGTCTGGGATGGAGGTGTCCAGTGGCAGGGAATGGCTGTGATGTGCTAAAACAGAGGCCACCAAAGCAAGGGCTGCCTGGCATGAACTGCTAAGGGAGGGTTGTGAAGGATTTGTGTTGTTTATTCCCACTACACCACAGCAGAAGCACAACCATCTCCCCAGCTCCCCACGATCCTGCTGGTCCCAGGATGGTGGGCTGTGCCCTCCCTCACACCTGCTGATGCTGCCCTTCCTCCTGCAGGTGCCCCACGGGGAGTGGAACAGCACGCTGTCCCGGGACAAGGACAGCGAGATCCCGTGCCGGCGCATGCGCAGCGGGAGCTACATCAAAGCCATGGGGGATGATGACAGCGAGGACTCAGAAACCAGCCCCAAACCATCCCCGAAAACTGCAGCTCGGAGGCAGAGTTACCTCAAGGCCACACAACAGTCCCTGAGTGAGCAGAGCACCACACAAAGGTAACGCTGGACCTCCTCTGGGAGCTCTGCACAGGCCCTCAGGGCCACCTCTGGAACAGCCCTTGGGTTGCAGCACCCCACAGAGTGTGGCACCAGAGCCCAGCAGGGCTCCTGCACTCCACAGAGTGTGGCACCAGAGCCCAGCAGGGCTCCTGCACCCCACAGAGTGTGGCACCAGAGCCCAGCAGGGCTCCTGCACCCCAGCTCTAACAGAGACATGAGGAGACAGCAGGACAGGAGAAGATGTGGCACCCCATCCTGGTGATTCCCAGTAGCCCTGGTGTTAGGAGCTGCTTTAGGTCCCTGTCCCCTCAGCCATGGGGGGAGCGCTCCTCTGATGGAGCTGTGGGGATTTCCTCTCCAAGCATCCTCTGCTCTGGGGGAATGCAGAGATCCCAAGCCCAAGAGGCCCCTTGACCATGGAAGCTGCTCATCCAGCATGGCTGAAGACACAGCCTGCTGGGACTGTGCCTGGAGCTGCTCTGCTCCACAGGTATGCAGGTGTTCCAGGTGTTTCACCTCTGGAACAGAAAGGTGGCACACTGGGCTGGAGGATATCCTGAAGGTCTAAGAGGTTTTTGAAGGAGGAAGACCCACAGTGGTTTGAGCCAAAGCCAGGGGAGCAGAGCAGGAGCTTTGCTGGGCCAGAGGCTGGTCCTGCAGGAGGGGCTGTGTGTGAGCTGGGCAGTGATGCTGTGCAGTGTCCTCAGCACCTGCTCCACATCCCGGGACAAGGCACCTGGGGGCTCTCAGTGCTCCGGGTGCTGCAGCTGGGGCTACAGAGGAGCTGCTGGGGATGAACTGCTGAGGCTCAGCAGGCAGAGAGAAGTGGGGTGCAGGCAGTGCGGGGGCACCTCACAGAGCCTTTGTATCAAGACCAGGTGCTGCTTTCTGCTGGGAGACAGTGACAAAATCAGCTGTGGGGAGCCCTGGAAATGCCTGCTCTGGATCCATCCCTGTTCCCAGCCCTCACATTCACCTTAGGGGAGCAGGGTGGTGTCCTGGAGTCTCTGATGGAAAATTCCCACCTAGAGAGGCTGGGGCTCCTTGTGCCCATGCTGCCTGTCCCTCGGGATGTGGCTGCCCTGAGTGCTGGGCTCAGCCAGGGCCGGGCCAGGCTGGGGAGGCTCTGGGAGCACAGCGGGTTGGGACAGAGGGATCGGCTGTGAGG